TCACTTACCACTATAGACCTCAAACAAATAACCACAAAACACAATAACTTGGCAATAAACTTTATGACAAACATATAACAAATAGCAATGATGGCGAATAATAATAATAATAATAATAATAATATCTTTATTGCCCAACAGAAAAGGAATTCCAATTACAGGACAATTATAATAATACAGAATATATAAACAAATACTAAAATAACTATAAATTCAAAATAAGTTTAGCTAACTTCAAAATAATTTATGGCCAACGTTGTAATATTTTCAATAGTGGCAACTGCAATATCACATTCATTGCATATTTTATTGAAGTTACCACTCATGACAAATACTGGAGATTTCAAAAGAACATTGGTTCTGGCATATGTATTATAGAAAGTAAAAATAGATCTAGCATTAATTCGTGGTACGTGAATGTTAAAGAGTGATATCAAAAAGGTACTGTCTATTTCATTTCTGAACAGCCCGTACAGAAATTTAATACTTAATAAAAATCTTCTACATTGCAAGGACCTAACATTAAATCTATTCAACAATAAAATATGTTCAGTACCTCTAGCAGGATAAATATTGTCAAGTCTAAAAGCTAAAATTTTCAAAAATCGCCTTTGTACTCTTTCTAATTGATCAGTGTAGGCATTATAATATGGATACCAAACAAGAGAGCAGTACTCTAGCTTGGTACGAACCAATGAATAATACAAAACTTTCAATGCACCCTCACAATTCATTGATTGAGTATTTCTATTTATAAAACCAACCATTTTAAGAGCAGATTTTACAATACTAGTGATGTGGTCTGAAAATGATAATTTGGTATCAAAATATACTCCCAAGTCTCTGGTACCTGTACACCTTGATATGGAATCGTCATTAATTGTGTACTCAAAAATAATTGGATATTTTTTTAGTGTAAAGGTACACACCTTACATTTACCGATATTCAAAAAAAGTTTATTGAGGATACACCATTCATTTATTAAGTTTAGCTGATTTTGTAGGTATACACAGTCTGATGCATCTGAAACATCAACGAACAATTTCAAGTCATCAGCATAAATCAAATGTTGACACTTTACAAAATTGGAAATATCATTGATAAAAAGGACAAATAATAGTGGACCCAGGTTAGAACCCTGAGGAACTCCAGAGCCTGGACTAAAACCATCAGAACCAAAACCATTGTATGTCACAAATAATTGACGATTAACAAGATAGGATTGAAATAAATTTAAAAGTTGATTGCTGAATCCAAATGATCTCAGCTTCATTAACAAGACAGTATGATCAACCCTATCGAAGGCCTTCGAAAAGTCAGTATACAATACATCTACCTGTTTACCAATATCCATTTTTTGAGCCACAAATTGAGTAAATTCAGATAGGTTCGTAACTGTGGAACGTTTATGCATAAAACCATGTTGGGTGGGGGTAATATAGTTTTTAACGCTGTTATAGATATGACTGTAGACGGACATCTCAAATACCTTCGAAAAGTTGCTCAGAATGGCTATGGGGCGATAGTTCCTTATATCAGCTGTATCACCAGATTTATGTACCGGAACTACCCTTGTTTTTTTCCACATATCAGGAAATTTACCAGAAGAAATAATGACATTACAAATATACAATAGCGGACTACTCAAAATGGGCAGGCAATCCTTTATAAGAAAACTGGGAATCTGATCACAACCGCAAGTGTTATTATTTTTTAGTTTCTTTATGGACTTTTCAATATCATTTAAAGAAAATTTATTAATATGAACAAGAGGGTTATTGATACCCAAATCTTCTACATTTAAACTAATATCATTAACTGATTCAACGTAAACACTCTTAAAAAAATTTGCAATTCCATTCACCACATCAATAGGATTTTCATAGGTATTATTATCAAAAAACATATTTCCCGGTAGTCGTGATGTTCCTTTCTTTTGGTTAATAAATGTCCAAAATTGCTTTGGATCAGATTTCAATCTGGAAGCAGCTAGGTTAAGATATGATGTAAATGAAATTGAGGTGTCTCTATTAATAAGACTTCGCATTCTTTTGAATTCATTATAAAAACACACATTACCAGTTTTTTTATACTTTTTGTGATAAAATTCCTTGGTCTTGATATTTTGAATAATCTGGGGTGTAAACCACAGAGGATATTTACGCTTGACATTATTTTTATAAGTAGGAACCCATTCATCAAATATAGTGTACAAAGTGTTATAGAAATATTCGCAGGCTCTATTGGAATCATTAGTTTTATACAGTGACTCCCAATCAACATTAAGTAATGCATTATAAAGTTCAGTATAATTAGCCCTTTTAAAATTGTAAGTTTTAGGTTGAAAGTTTGTAGGGAAATTGTTTAAATTTTCAACAACTAGCTCAAATGATATTAATAATGGTGGGTGAAAATTATCTTCCGGAACTAGAGGTACGCATTCTCTTGAAACTAAACACTGTATGTCCGAAACACATAAATCCAGAGTTCTGTTATTAATATTACCAATGTTGTTTTGTTGTTGAAAACCATTTAGATTTATAAAATCAACAATAGAACGCGATTTTAAATCATTATACTCATTTAAATTATAATAAGGAGCATTAAAATCACCAAGAACAATAACACTTTTAAAGTTAGCTATAAATAAACCAAAGAATTACCTTTACAATCTTTGGAATGAAGCAAATAAACAGGAAAACCCTTTGCATGTACCTAACAATCATGGCATCATATTTAACGGACGCTACCATAGAAAAGGACGCTTCTTTATCTTCTGCGGCAGTGTTGTCAGACGTTTAAATAATTTCAGAAAGCTCATCAAAATGGCGGTTATATTATTAAATCTTTAATACTTAATTAATTAGTATACCTAGTATACCTATTTAACATAAATGTGGTGAGTAATTATTTTAAATTTATTTAATTTATTTATTAAAACTTAATAAAGCAGGGAAATATATTTCGTTTAGTTATTTTGCTTCTAACCGGCAACACTGAAGATTCTCAAATTCAGCGTGTGCGTACTACTATGAAATACAATAATAAACAAAAGGGACTTAAGTAATTTTTTATTGTATTCATATATATTATCTTGTATATATATATATACAAGATATCCATATCAGTTATCCACTGGATATCCAGTGGATATACTTTAGACATACATTAGTTATCCATTGGATATATATTAGAGATACTTTGTTGAAATTGGTTTAATAACGATTTAAATCATATTTATTAATCATTACATAAATTTATCCTATAAGGAGCTATTTTAAAAAAGAAAAAAATATTTTTAATGTTTTTGTTTTTTTTTGAACATCCAGTATGGATATCCATTGGATATCCAATGGATATCGTAAAATTTAAGGCATGGATGTTATATGGACATTGGGATAGCCATTGGATATCCATTGGATAGCGTGTTCTGTGTGGGACATGAGCAGTGTGAATTGTCGTGTTATACTTATAAAATTTTAAAAAAATCCACATCCACGCTTTTGTTAGTTTTGTGCAGGTATTCTTTATCAAACTTGATTTCCTAGGACGATAAACTTGCAGTTGCGCATTATAGCAGGAAATATTTTTTCATCCGGAAAGTTGGTTTCCTCTTTGCCATGCATGGCAAGCCAGGGATTGTATAAAGTTAGAAAAAGGGGTTTTGCCTCAAATATTCAACTTACTCACTGTCGTTTACTGGAGTTGTCTTTCCGAGGCATCCACAACCCATTAGCATACTCAGATCATATGTTTCTACCCGCTTTTTGTTTAATTTTTAAATCGCCCCTTTGCTGCAATTTATTTTATCTGCTATGCTATAATATAGCCTACTCTCTTAAAAAGTATTAGTCAAAAATAACTAATTATAAGTCATATTCTGCTGAATGAAATAGTCAAATTAGTAGATTTAAATTTAAAAAAAGTTCTGACCCAGCCGGGGTTTGAACTAGGGTCTGTCGCTTGTCAAGCTTGTAGGTATAACCAATGAACCATGTTCATTTGTCAATAAATATTGCTCATAATGTTTTAAAGTTGAATAAATTTTTTGTGTTTGTGTTTTGGGCAAAACTTTTGCATTATTTGTTTTTATGGGCCATTTAACCATGGAGCCTATATGCATTTAACTCAAACAATAATTTGTTGTTGGCCGCAAACGATTAAAGAAATTAGTTACTTTTAACTCTCAGAAATAGTAAAAAATGATGACTAATCTTAAATTAGATAAACTTTAACTATTTAAGTAGTTAAAAATAATTATTTAAAAGTGAAAATTGACTATTTCATTTTAATAGAGTATTTCTGCTTGCCTTAAGATATGATTAATTAATATTAATATACCTAGAAAACATAATACCGTATAAAATATAAAACAATTTAATAACAAACTCCTATACGTATATTCCAACTGTGCAATAAAAAAATTGCATGTCCCAACCCCATTAAGACTAAGAAATAGAGAGGGGCTAATTAATATCATTTAAAATAAGTAGGTAAAACAATTTGAAAAAGAATTACAACATGCAAAATTCAATGCATCATACATGCCTTGAATTGAAAAATGTTATAGAGAAGAATGGTGTCTAAATATTAATTAATTCTTTTTTATATATTTTTTTCGTTTTTGGCTTTAATGAAGTTTGTCTAAATAATTTAATTAACATAACCGATGTAAAAATCCCAGCCACTCCTATCTAGGTACTTAAAAAAAATGATTACTTTTTGGCCACAATTGTACACAATATGTAGGTAAAATATGTATTATACATAATGTTATCCTTGACGACTGAAAAGTGTCACCAACTTTGGAACCAGGTACTTAAATTTCTTTAAAATTGCAATATGGAATATTTACACAAATCGTAAATAAATAAGGCCATTTCTATGAACCAATAATTTAAATGCAATAAAAATGAAATGTTTATTCAGCAAATTAAATTAACTGTATTAAAACTAGATATAAAAAGGTGTAAAACTGCATAATTTATAGTAGTTGATTTAAAATGTCAGTGTTAATAGTAACGGAAAAATCCAAGAGGGAAGTTAAGGAATTGTTTAATAAAAATGACGAAAGCATTAAACAAGACATTGAGATTATTAAGAATTGGATAAGGCAACAAAAACATCTTCCTGGTGTAGAAGGTAGGGTATAAATATTAAACAGATTACAGAACCAAATTATTGTTGTATTAATTAATGTTTAATATAATTAATTATTAAGGAAATAATAAACTGAAATAAGTTAAAAATTAAGTAGAACAATTTATTTTTTACAGTATTTTCTGACGATTTTATAGAAAGAAGGTTGTTGGATTGTAAATTTATAATGGAAAAAACTAAGAGTAAAATTGAGAATTATTGTTCACTTAGACGCCTCTATTCAGATTTATATGAGAATTATGCCAATATAAAACCATCTAAATTACCAATGTAAGTAAATTTTAATATAGGTAATAATGTTTGGACGTTTATTGAGAACTTCTTACTTTATGGTTAAGGTAAGTCAAATAATACAGGCTTACACATCCAGACAGGCATTATAATACTTGTGGCAACCTGTGCTATAATCTAAATTATGGCATTTCTGTTAAAAACACCATAGATTTAGGACGCCACTTGGCGGATTATATTGGTACTTTTATTTTTGCTATACACGCCGATTACAGTGATCTGCACCCAATTAAAATTGTGGCAACCGTGCCATAAATCAGGAACATTCGACAGGGTGGTCATAAAGTAGAATAATTTAAAAATGGCCCAAGAAAGAACTTTTTTATTGTTAATTTTACAAAGAAAAGTTACTCCTTATAAAAAGTTTTGCTAAAAATATACCAAATATAAGACTATTAATACTTAAAATAACATAATATAGGAAAATTGATAGTTGGTCCAAGAGAAAAGTTCCCTTAATTTTTATTTTAGAGCAAAATAAAATAAGGAAATATTGCTAATAATTAAAAGTTATATCAAGTTTAATTCCATGGCCTTCTATTAAAAAATTGTTGATATTTATAGATAATAAAAACGCTGTGTCTAGTCTCACGCTAGCGCGAACGCAATTTTATTCTTATTCTCACGCGGTGACGTCACTAATTATAATCCGTTTTTGTTCCCAGAGCGTTTAATATTTGACAACAAGCTAGATGGCTCCGATGGTAGGGCGGGCGCTTGGCATGCGAGAGGTCCCGGGTTCAATTCTAAGAACTTTTTTTATTTTTTTATTTCATAAATTTGTTGTTTCTTTGTTAAACAGTGTTCGGTTGGGTTGGGTTGGTTAATTTGTTTTAGTTTTATCGTAACATAAAATCTACCAGAAGTTGTCGAACTTTTTTTATTTCATAAATTTGTTGTTCCTTTAAAAATAAAACACGTTAACAATTGTTAACGTGTTTTATTTTTATCGTAACATAAATTTGCCCATTTTAGTTGGGTCTTTTGCTCAATGGGGCGGGGGGGCCCAATGGGGCGGGGTCGGTTGGGTTGTGTTGTTGAGTTTGGGTTGGTTTGGCTGCAGTAAAAGAGTCTCGATTTTATTATTAGTAAATTTTATTACATTTGCATAATAAAATCAAATGACATAATCAAATAATAATCAAATCAAATGACACGACACCTAAAAAGTAAAATTAAATAAAATAATGCGTGAGAATAAAATTAAAATTATTTTGACTTTAGCGTGAGAATAAAAATTAAATTGCGTTCACGCTAGCGTAAGACTAGACACAGCGTAATAAAAACTTACAAAGATGGATATATCGAAGCAAATGTGCAATAAGAGTAAAATTAGTGCATATATATTTTTGTTTAAATTATTTACATGAAATGTTTGATACTATAACAACTATTATTGTATTTAGGAAAATAAAGGATCATGTTATTATCAACTATTTAAATGCATCACAAATATTACTACAAAACAGAAGTTAAGAAACAAAATAAAAATGTAATCATGTTTGTAGGGCAAATACGTGATAAAGGATTATTAGCTTAAGTTGCATATTTAAAGGTTTAAAGTTTTTAACGGTCATTTTTTAAATATCAAGAATTTAAAAATAGGAGACCATGGATTTAAACTTATATATAACCTTTAATTCTAAGAAACATTTTTTTTGCTCTAAAATAAAAATTAAGGCACTTCTCTCCTGGGACAATTATAAATTTAAGTTTTAATAGTCTAATATTATTTTTAAGAAAGCAAATTTTTTTATAATTTAGCCAGGTTTTTGGTTTAATTAATAATTATTAATAAAATGTTTAATACAAACATATGTACCTATACAAATTATATATTTTTGAAGTTAGAATAATAAACTATCTAAACATTCAAAAATATACAGGGTGTTCCATTGAAAAAAAAAGTTATATTTATTTTGCCATATGATTTTTTTTGGTATCTCTTCTAATAAATATTTTATAAGGGTGTCCCATTTATAAAACACCCTGTAAAGAGTAGTCATAAAGGCCTAATAAAAATAATTTAAAAATAGGAGGCCATGGATTTAAAATTAGATATAACATTTAATTCTAAGCACCTTTTTTTATTTCATTTTGCTCTAAAATAAAAAATAAGGTTACTTCTTTCTTGGGCCAATTATACATTTTCCTATTTTATGACCACCCTGTATTTGCTATTTTAAGTTTTAGATAGTCTGATATTATTTTTGAGGAAGCAGAACTTTTTATAAAGAAGTACTTTTTTTCGTTAAATTAATAATAAAAAAAGTTTCCCATATGTAGAAAACTTACGCGAATACACTGTATATATATATATATATAGTTTTTTATATTTGTATTAATTAATTTAGTTATTTAATTATCTATTTATTTTCCATTTTCTATAGGTATTTGTATATTTATAGGTAGGTTGCCACAAGTATTACAATGCTTGTCTGGATGTGCGCGCAAAGCAAATCCACCAGTTAATATAGAATATAAGTTAAGCTGCCTTAAATCTGACAACAACGCCTTCAATAATATTTTCATGAAAGGGGGCGCCACATTACTATGTGATGTGTAAGTGCCACAACTATTAAAAATTAAACGTACTTATATCCCAAATTGTGGCAACATACACATATTTATATATTTATTTGAATAATTTAAATTATTTTGCACAAACCTCAACAGAAGATAGGCTATCAAAACCAAATGACCTGGCAAACTATTAGTTTAGTTTATAACCGGAGAAAGCCAGAATTGAGGAAATAAATTGTGGCACCTCGTGTTTGGTGTCACAATTTTGGATGTAGCCATAATTCAGCGTTATGCACACACAAGGTGCCACAATTCCCACGTAAAAAAAATTGTCAACTCGGGTTTTAATAAAACTTTGTAAAGTCAACTATCAAACTAGGTACATATTTTTTGTAAAATGGGGTCGCTAAGCATAACCGGTTGCCGAGTAGCAGGGCTTAAATTTAAAACCTTTTTGGATGACTTCCAAAAGAGCATGGACGTTAAAACTTGTAACTGGTCAGTAACAACTTATTTGACTCAAGACCAATTCTTTTGAAAGAGAGAATAAACTGATTTAGAAGAAGAAGACATTTTAACACCAACCTAAAGCAATTGATTTTGATCGATGAATAATGATTCCGTACATTAAGATAACAATAATATTTTAACAACGATTTTACCATATAGCGGATAGACGGAAAAAAGAAAAGAAAAGAAAGAAAACGAACTCGGAAAAAGTAACCCAAAATTAAAATCGACTGGAAAAACATTATTATTTTAGTTTTTATTTTAATCAGTGAGCTTTCTTTGTCAAAAACAATGAAAAAACATGAAATATATTTTTTTCCAATGACACGAGACCTAGTAGTTAAAAAAATACAATTGAATCAATGAGTGGAAGAAGAGTCCAAGTGACCATTTTTGAAATTTCAAAATAGCCATTTTCCTAAACCTCCATCTATCGAGTGAGCCTAGAAACAGTCCATAATTCAATACCGTTTTCCTTCATCAACCACCTGAGAAACAGCGTCGCTTGGACCGTTCTTCCACTCAGTGTGCAGTACGTGTTCGAGTGCGTCAGGCTGGCAACCTTTGGCAACCCTGCCTACAGGGTATATCTCCCAGAAAAATACGAGAGCATGTTTTGAGAAGTAGGATCACCAAGCCATTTCAGCTCAAACGCGTGTCTTACCAGAGCATGTTTTGAAAAGTAGGATCACCAAGCCATTTCAGCTCAAAAGCGTGTCTTACCAGGATATTATTAATTACAAAAACTGGTGGCATCAGTATTACAAACACAGCTGCAAGCCTGATGAAAAGGCAAATAACAATGTTTTTAATGTTTCAAAATATCGTGAATTTGTTTTTTATTCTACAACTCCAGGTCATGTAACAGTTTCCGAGTTCATTGACGGTGCGTTTTACTCTACATTTAAACTGGTTAAACCGACAGTAAGGCCAGAGCTCCCAAATAACAAAGCCAATTCCGAAACAGTACCTATCAACATTAAGAACATCCAAGATTTTACAATACTTTAGTGTTGAAGATTTAGAATTATATTACCATATTGTTTCATGGAAAGTTACCACTGCCGAAACTATTGAATAAAACTTTTTGATTACACCTTGTATAAATATACTCTTTTATTATCTCTCATATTTTTTTAAATGAAAATAAAAAAAAAATATTAATATAAACAAACAAATAAACAGCAAAAAGCATTGAAAAAATCAACTGAGTGGAAGAAGGGTTTAAAATCATCAAATATTTTTGGCCCGGGTTCCGATATAGTTATAAATCCTATTTTTCTACAAAATAGCTTCAAGTTGCATAAAAAATAAGTTACCTGTACACAACAACATGAAATTCTCCTTCTTTTTAAAATAATTACTTTTTTTAGTTTCCTTAATGTTTCTGCACTTTTTGCACTCACCGATTCAATTATGACGTACGTGTGACGTCACACTTTTTTGGGATACCTACCCTGTATAATTTAATTTCCTAAAAACCGTCCCAAAGGCTTTCGATATTTCGTAGAACTTCTTATTTTGTACAGTACATTTTTAAACTTGGACAAAATTTATGTTTTTTTTTTAATATTTCAAAGTGAATACTTATAGAATATGGCCACTGTGCTTTGGTACAAATGTGTTCCTTACCAGCACCGACAGACAGACTGTTTTGGTCTTGTAGACATCATCAGTCGCGGGTGGCCGTGTGGTGTAGTATAAATCTATCTGCAGGATAGTATGTGGCTCCATTAAAAGGTAAAAAAAGTGGTAATGTAATAAAAATTTATCAGAACGTAAAGGAAGGAAGGCGACTGGGTTGAATAGTGATCCCAAATAGAATAAGGTAAAGCAAGTAAGAGGAACGTGTAACCAATTTTTTTTTTGTTTTAACTCATAACCTCAAAGGTAAACCTGCTGGAAAACCTATCAAATATATCGAAAATTTGGTGGCGCCACCTATTATAGATAAGTAAAAGTTTATCAGGTGGTAAGCAGATCTCTGATTGAATTATAGTATATTTGAGATTATACTGCATACCGCAAACGAACGAAGACAGGCAACTAAGTAAACAAGACAAATATACGGATGAAGAAAGGTGAAACAAAAAGCAACAAACGAGATCAGGACAATTCGTTTGAAACGGAAGAAAAGCGATTTAAAAAAAGAAACATAGTGGAAAGTTCACCCGAAAAAGGTTAAGAGAAAGAAATGGATGAAATTGTGAGAGTTTTAAAGGAAATGAGGATTGAAATAATAGAAATGAAAGATCAAATTAAAAACAAATAATGAGGAATCGAAGATAATGAGAGAGGATATTAGTAAAATGAAGAAGGAATGGAACGAAGAGAAACAAGGGACTACAGGAATTGGAAACCAGGAAAAAATCAAAAACAACATAGTTATTACAGGAATCAATATGGATAAAGAGAGCACAAGAGTAATAAAGAAACAAGTGGAAGAATTGCTACAGAAGGAGATAGGAATTGAAAAGGAAGTAAAAAGTGCATATAAAATTAATAAAACAATGATTATATCAGAAACAAACAGCTGGGAGGGTAAAATAATAATAATAATAATGCTTTATTCATGTTAACATACAATAAGTATTTATACTCGTCACAAAAAATATAATACATGATAATAATAAATAAATGAGACTAACTAATTAGCATTTACATAAAATACCTTATAAGTATAATAAATATAAGAAGAAAAAAACAACTTTATTTGCATACAACAGTACAATATACCTAAAGGTAATAAAAAACCAATTAATACAAAAAAAAACAAAAAAAATCATAACATAATGAAAATCATTAAAGGAAAAAATAAGCTAAGAGGAAAAGATATTTATATAGAATCTGAGTTAACGATTACGGAAATAAAAATTCAAAAAACTTTGAGAGACAGAACTAGAGAGTAAAAAAGTAAAGGGGCATTTTGTAAAGCCATTTATAAAACATACGTTCATTCAGAAACAAAATAAACGAATCTGAGGCTTTTCTCTGTGATTTAAATGTAAGCATAGTTTGTTTGACTGAACACTGGCTCAACTTTTGCGAGGTGGAACTGCTAAAAATATGTGACTATCTGGTTGCTTCATCCTTTGCAAGAAAAACTTTTAAAGGTGAAGGGTCTGTGATACTAATCAAACCAAACTTAATCTTTACTCGTTTAGAAAATATTGAATGTTTATCCTCTGAAAAAATCTGTGAATTATCTTGCATTTTTGTTCAATCATTAAATACTGCTGTCTTATCTGTATATAGATGACCATCCTCAAGTCTTTTATGTTTTTTTGTTAATTTTAATAGTAAGGTAAGCTTTGCATCTACTATAGAAACTAACCTAACCTAACTTTAAACCAGCAGTTCTAAATAATCGTAAAATTGCTCGTGTGCAAAAAGAATGTAGTATAACTCAAATGGGTAAATATATTTTTTTCAATGAAATCTCAAATATTTTTTGGGACTTTATAAAATGTAAAAACTTATCAGTAAATGAAAAATTTGATAGATTTATTTAACATCTTTTAAACTCATATCTTCACTCTTTTCCTGTTAAAAAAAATGGCTTGTAAACCCAGATTATCTTATAACCAGAACTGGTTCAATGAACTTGAAGCTTATGAGAAATCAGTTGTTTTTTATAAATGATCTACTCTCTGAAAATGAATTAGTCAAAAATGACTAATTTAATAGTTATTAGTGGCTGCTTTTTCACTTGTACCATGGTTAACCAAGGGATACCATGGTATCCCAAAATTTAACAGCCAATTCTTATGTGAAATTGTCCCCTGAATCCAAAAATGTCGTCAAAAGTTAAAAAAGTAAAAAAGTTTTTGAGATATAGTCAATTTTTCATTTAATATGGAATTGACTATATCTTAAAAACTGCTCCACTTTCATAATTTTTGGGATACCGTGGTATTCGATGGTTAAACATGGTACAAGTGAAAACGCAGCCACTAATAACTATTAAATTTTGACTAATTCATTTTTAGAGAGTATGTAAAAAAAACCCTCTGAGTCTTTATTTAAAACAACAAAAATTAAATTACCAGAAAAAATATAAAACCGCTATTCAAACTGCAAAAATAATAGCAAATGACTATTTAATAAAAAACTCAAATTCTGTTATAAAAACCATGTGGGAAATTATTGGTGATAAACGAAATAAAACCAAACGAAGAGGTTCTCAATGTTGTCATTGACCCAGTTCTAAAATTTGAATTCTTCATATCCATCTTTAATACTGTAAGAGATATCATTAAATCCTTAAAAAATACCAAAGATGTATATGGTTTAAGTACCAATGTTCTCAAGGGTGTAAGTAATGTTTTAATTGAACCAATAACCAAATTAATTAATCTATGTATTGAAAGCAATATATTTCCGAACAAACTAAAGGAAGCTTTGGTTATTCCTATTTTCAAAAAAGGAGATCCTGAAGACCTTAACAAATATAAGCCAATATCTCTCTTACCAATAATTTCCAAAATCTTTGAAAAAGTTCAGATTATAACTTACTTTGAACAAAATAATCTTTTTTATAAAAATCAGTTTGGTTTCAGAAATAATAAAAATACTACACTGGCTGTGTTGGAACTGGTCAAAAACATATTATACTCTTTCGAAAAAAAAATGAACATCTGGTTGCTGTTTTTTGTGATTTGTCCAAAGCGTTCGACTGTGTAACTCACGAAGTATTGCTTGGAAAACTAAAAAACTATAATTTCACAACTAATGCTTTTAATATGATTAGGTCCTACTTAACACATCCTGTACGGCAGGTTAGAGTAAATGGGTTAATGTCTGAGGGATGTGATTGGCTATGGGCTTTCCCAGGGTTCTGTCCTTGGACCATTGCTTTTCTTAATCTATGATTTACCCAATTTTAACCATACAGCAAATCACATTCTCTTCGCTAATGATACCACCATTATTGTAAATGGAAAAGACTCAGAACATGAACCTTAAATGAAACAAAAACAGTAAATATGTTCTTTACGCTAGGTAAACAAACAAATAATCACGTTTTCTTCAGCGAGCATGCAAGATTCTTGGGGGTTATTATTGATAAAACACTTCAGTGGAACTATCATATAAATGAGGTTGCCAAGAAATTTGGCAAGCACATCTATTTTTTAAGGAATCTTGCGAACTTAGTCTCAAGCAATGTTTTTAAGACAGCCTATTTTTCATTGGGTCACTATGCCATATTGGTGTGGGGGCAAGCTGCTGGCTAAAAAAGATTGTTTTCTCTACAACGTAAGGCTGTGAGAATAGTTGGCAAACTAAAATATTCTGAAAACTGTAGAGCCAAGTTTTTAGAACTAGGTATTCTTAGACTGCCCTGTATTTATATACTAGAAATACTAGTGTATACCAAAATAAACATGGATAAATTTATTTTAAACAAAACCAACTACATTCACACTACTCGGAATAGCCAAATGTTAAGGTAACCACTCTGCAGACTAACAAAAAGTCAGAAGCATATAAATTTTTTAGCTCCTAAATATTTTAATAAATTGCCAGAAGATATAAAAACCAAAGATCGTAAGTCATTTAAGTCAGCGGTTAAATGTTTACTATTAAAAAATGCATTTTATTCATATGATGAGTTTTTAGATTTTAACTTTTGTTAAACGTTTATATATATATATACTTGTTTGTTGGTTTTTATTATTCTATAGTAATATACCCTTTTTTGTAAAGTAATATGTAATACCTTTTATGTATAATTATTAATTAAATATTTATGATAATATTTTTAATTTTGACAAATGTAAATACTTTTGTATAGTAACATGAATAAAATTATTATTATTATTATTATTGTTTATACTCTCCCAGGTATGTTCTTCTTAAGGTGTTAAATCCCTTACATTGACACATAATGTGAAGAGGTGTTTCCTCTTCTTCTTCGCATCCTCTACACAAGGGGTCATCTGTCATCTCCATTTTGTGAAGATGTTTTTTTGAATGGAGCATGGCCTGTGAGAAGGCCTAATGCTTTCTTTAGTTGGGTCCTGGTATATGTCCTCATTGGTTTCTGGTCTGCAGATTGTCCAAAAGTGCTTTCGAATGCTCCAGACCAGACAGGCTTTCCCAGTATTGTTTGTGTTGTAGTTCTGTCCAGTCAATTAGTTCTTTCCTGGACGATTCTTGGCTGATGCCGCATGTGGGTTTCGGCCCCATCAGCAGGGTTTCGGTTTCATCAGCTGCGAAGTTTGGCTTCCACCTCATCGAACTGTTTCTGCCTTCTTCTTGCACTAGGATAAGAGTTATCTGGTTTTTTGCTTCGGTTAATGCCGTCATATGTCTCAGACATTCTAGTACGGCCTTCGAATTGATTTCAAATACCTCCAGTGCCTGGTGAGCAACTTCTCCGTGGGATTGCTCTCCCTCATTCGTTGGAAACCTAGTTGTATGGCAATGATGCCCGCTTAACGATCGGTTATCTCTTTTCCCAGGTTTAGTATTTCTTGACTGCCCTGTTGAGATATATCTTTTGTGCCCGCAGAAACACCAGATTAGGTTTCCTTCTTGCCTGAGTCGGGCAATCTGGTTGTTTATCTTCTCAGCCTTTATCCTTTTTGAGATAAAAGCTTTATTGAAATGTTTGACCTTGGCTTTGTCTGTTCTAATGGCTAGACTGCCAGTATTTTCTAGCTCTTCAAATATGGCATTATGTCTGATGTTGGAAATAACTTCGGCCTTATTTGAGATTAGTCTCTGGGCTCCCGCTAACGCTTCAGCTTTAATCTGAATGTGTAGAGGGGGAGTCCTAGCTGTGTACACCCATTGTACCATGCCTGGCGACAGTCCCCAAGATTTACCAAATGTTCTTTTACAGGTCATAAAGGTTTTTATGGCCCTATTTGTTATGTTTCCCATATGCATCCGATAGGTGAGTTTTTTATCCAGTATAACTCCTAGATATTTAACTTAGTCTTTTAAGGGCAGCGTTTCCCCGTAGAAGATTAGATTTTTCACGGGTTCCAACTTTTTTTTACGAGAAAAGGCAATAAGGGAAGTTTTTGTGGGATTTACCCGAAGTCCCTCCTCATTGCACCAGTTTTCGACAGCGTTTAGCGCTCTTTGCATTTTGGTAAACACATGGGCTGTGTTACTGCCTCTGATAAGGAGTACAATATCGTCCGCATATCCTATTGGGTATATTTCTTTATTTTCCAATCGTGTCAGTAAACTGTCCGATACGAGGTTTCATAGCAGGGGTTATAGCATCCCCCCTTGTGGTGACCCTCTGCACACTTTAGCTCTAACAGTTGTGCTGTTAAGAGTGGTTCTGGCTCGTCGTTGAGCCAGCATCTGTTTGATCCATTTGCCAATCAGAGATTCTATGTTGTGATCTCTTACTGATCGATTTATTGAGTCATATGACGTGTTATCAAACGCTCCTTTGATATCCAGGAATGCCCCAAGGGCCACTTTTTTGTTGTCTAAAGATTGCTCCGCCCTTTGGGTT